CGAAGAAGGAAGGCTAAAGTCGAAGTCCAACTACTCCAAGCCGTATCTCACCGAAGAAAACAAGAAACGGCGGATGGAACACGCTATGTCCTTTCTTTTGCAAGCGTCAAATGGAGCCATTTTTTCTAACATGCACCAAACAGTGCATGTTGATGAGAAATGGTTCTATTTGACGACTGTAAGAAGAAGGATTTATGCGTACGACGATGAAGTTATTCCAAGTCGGCACCTCAAATCAACGACGCTTGAATTCCCAAGTAGGAGTACTCATTTGAATGTAATAAAAAGTCATTATATTTTTGTGGCGCAATATATAATCTCAAAGGTCAATACAAACTTTAAGATATTTTCTAGCCGTCAACTATACTTTAATCAAGATGAACAAACCGACCTCTTTTCCTGGAACAGAGTAGTACAAGTCAGGGATGGTGGTTCCATTCAAAGTGGTTTTTATTCCAATCAATGTGGTTCAAATTGGTGGGAAACTTGCGCACGCAGAGATCCTAGCTTGCTTCTCATGAATTGACAGGGAATACGACATTGTGCAATTTGTTGTGGCTTGAAAGAGGCAGCATCAAGATGGAAAAGTACGCTACATTCGTTGATGAAGTGTACAACGCCGTCAAGCGATCTGCAACTTGGTGCAACAACTTTGTTGCGAAGAGTCATCGTGTTTGACAACGCGCCCGCCCACTCGCAAACAGAAGAGCGCGTTGTCATGCACGATGATCTCATTCTTCTCCGTCTGGTCCGTATTAGCTATGCTCAACCCTATCGAGAGCTGTTTCAGCGTATTCAAGGCGAAGATCAAGAACTACCTGGCAGATCTCACAGACTCGATGTTTCAACGACGCGAATATCCCTCTTTCCTTGAGAAGCTGCTGCTCACGAGTGTCTTCCCTGTATCACTCGGTCCTTGGTCGTCCTTGAGGCAATGTTTTGCCAACGCAACGTGGAGAAGGCTTTTCGTCTTGAAGATATGTGCTACGGAAAGTGAAGTGAACCAGTTTGGATGGAAAAGAACCACATTGAATTGAAAAATTGTCATTTTTATGTACCCACTTCTTAATTTTAAAACATTTGGCTTTATATATTACACTTTGGTTGGAAAAAACCACCAACTTGCTCGTGAAAAGGTGTAGATACTTTCACCACTCGGCAAAAACGTACCCAGACGCAATTTGCGTTTTTCGCGATGTTTCTTCACTGCAACGGTACGCTTGACTTTCTTCTTTTCACTCGATGAGATGAGGCCATTCAAATACCGGTTGCGCTCATAGCAGTCTTTCACTCGCAAGGGAGAAAGCGAACGTGACAATTAGTGAGAGCAACACAAGTTTGAAGGTAGGGATCATAGTTCTCGCGCTTCCATGTAAAAGTCTCTCGCACTATCGTAAGTGTCTTCAGACGACCAAAGAAGTTTTCCACAATCACACGGTCAGTAGCAATGTTGTCATTATACTCCATGTCGCTCATCATCAGCAAGCCACCAGGGGGACGTTCACCGGTGTGATGGCACGCATGCGTCGATGCAGGCCATTGTACCCTTTGTCCGCCAAGATGGCTCACTCCATAGGGTACTCGTCGTACATTAGTCCACCGTCCTGCAAGTCACGATCCGCATCAGTCTTGCGCATCTTCGCAGCGTGAAAGGCCTCGTTGGACTCGAAAATGGCAATGTCGGCTACACTTCCAGGTACTGCTGTCGTGACGTTGATGGCGAAACCGGTTGGTACAACGCTTGCTTCGACCTTCAGCCCTTAATGGCCATGCTTTTTGCTGTAGTACAATTTCTTCTCGCCGAACGAGCCCACAGATGCGTTCGTCCGCTAAAAGGTGGCGTCGACAGCGTAGAGGGCGGCTGGGGAGTTCGCAAAGCGCTGACCTGTCGCGGCGAGGTGCTCCATAGTCCACTTGGCGGCAATGTTGTCGATGTACTTTGATTTGAGGTACGGTAGAATGCAAGTTAGAAACGTGGTCACCCGCTTGGAGAAGGTGGGCGAGTTGACACAGAACTTGGTGGTGACGACATCCCAAGAGCCACAGTGCTTCATGGACTTCACTGTCATGAACATGTCGTGGCCAGTAACATCACACTTGCGACCCGACCCAATGTTCCACCGGCGATTGGTGGTGGACTGTGGGTCTGACCTAAGCAAATTGAACTCGGTCAGGGAGAAATGAATGGCCAGAGGGGCCTCTCTGCAGCGTTTTGGCGCCAAGATTTGCATAAATTTTGATGGAGTTGTGTCTGTATTCAAAATATACAAATTTATATTTATCAGTTTATAGAGATATTTGCTTCAAGGAGTTTAGTTGTGAGGACGTCTTACTTCGCTGAAGTGCACAATATTCGACTAATGAAATGTTGTCTAATCGGAAATGATTGCGAGATTTCCTAATTCACTCACACTTCTACCTATGATGGGTTGTACATGATGTTACGTCATCCTTGATCAAGTGGTGAGATCTTCTCTAATGCATAAGTTTTTTACGATTGGCTTCGTCACATCCTTTTGACAAAATCAAAGGCAGTAGTGCTTCGTCAAATTGTAAATTATTCGATGTTTGGTGAAAAGCATAGTCTCAAGGTACGTGGTCTAGTACACGTGGCGGTGGAATGCATTGGGTCCTAGAATCATATACACTGCCTTTTGTCGATACTGCAACGGGATTGTGGTGGTACACAGCAAACATCTCTGTTCCGTACAAGGCGCCCACCCCATCGAATTTGACCACAAAGAACGAGCGGCGTATTTTGACTCTCGTCATATCGTTTTTGACTGCAGTTTACGAGGACACTACGAGTGCCACTCTGTCACGTGCCCCAACGGCGTTGCAAATAAGTACGCAAAATTATTATATACGCACATGAAAATTTTGGTTTTGTGGAAAAATGCTGACAATTGCTTTGATCTAACCATGCCCTACGTCGTAAACGAGAGTTTGCAGTGTGGTGTAAGTACAAAAATATCTAAACCTATCTTACAGTTAAAAAGGATAATACTAGAAATCGCGGGAAATATTTCGCGAATTATTTATTTGCACACTACGCTAATAGTCTATACTACCGCCATTTTTCAAAACAACTTGAGCTAAACGCGTTGGCATGCTATCCACAAGCTACTTCAAGTAGTCAGTACCTATCATTTTCCACGACAAAGCAATTTGCCGCTTCAAATCAGACATAATGTCAAATGTCGCCCACCCTCGTAAATGTGGCGAGATAGAATCCCCCAAACGTTCTCAATAACGTTCAAATCGGGGCTCTTGCTAGGACAGCCCATGAGGAAGCCGCCCGAGTCTTCAAGAAACGTCGTCGTCGCCTTGGAAGCGTGGAAATATGCACTGTCTTGTAGGAACACAACAATCTGGTTTTTGAGACACTCTTAAACTTTGTCCAAAAAGGGAAACAGATACGGCTCCAGCGTCTTGCACTACTTCCCGAGCTTTGTCGTCCTTCAAGGAATGCGATATCAGACTTTCCGCACAGCTTTCAGTACCCCAAACCAAAACGCTGCCTCCTCCGCTGACCCACTTCGAGAACACGTTTTCGTCACCACGGAGGTCACGCCAGTACGCGCGGTATCCATCCGGTCCGTCCAAGATGAACTTCGATTCGTTCGAGAAGACAACTTGACGCCAAAAATCCAGCTTCGCCATGTGCTTTGCAACGGAAGCACGATGCGCCTTCTTGTGATGCGGCTTCAGGTACGGCTCCGGCTTCTTATTCGCGTATTTGATGTACTTGCTCGATTTCAGCACGTTGAGCACAGTGCGGGCAGTCACCCGCATAGATAGTGCCTTGGCGCTTTGCGCTGCTGACAGTTTCGTACGATTGTTTTGCGGTAAATGCGGCGTATGTCACGCTTCGTCAACTTCACGCGCCTTCCCGACCGCTTCTTCGTACTGTACGTGCCCGGGGACTTCAGGTACGAACGCACTAATGACTCAGGTCGTTTGATCAGACGTCCAATCTCACGATTGGATAACTTCTCGTGCTTCCAGGTCAACATGTGGCCCATTTCGATGCCTGTGAGCTTGGGACCCCTTGGCATGATACGCAGTTGACCAATTCTGTCATGATTCGCGCCACAACGTTGCCTATTCATTGGCCAAATCCCCACACCAATTTGTTTCCTTTTTGAATGCGTCTTTTGTCGTTTAGAAAATTTAAAACGCAGTGCGCATATAAATATTTCCGATGCCTCAGACTGGGTCAATTCTACCATACTCCTATATGTTGGCAAATTCAAGCTCACCGGCTGTATTGTACTGTAGCAATATAACTTGGAGGTATACCGTTCATGGGAAACAACTCCCAAGCCTTAGAGTATTTAGAGTATTTTTTATCTGACATTAATTGCGATTTACTGAAGATTTCAATGTTTGCATATAATTATTTAGCGCACTGTATCGCAGGCATATCAAATTGCCGTGTCACCGCTTCGTGCTCTGCTGTCGAAGACTCGAAAAGGCCGTAATCGAACGAAGGTTTGATAATGCAGAAGTTGTTACAATGGCCCAATTGCTCCGTCAAGTTAGAAAGAGGTAACGTACACTAAATAATTAGTCACTTTTATTTCTTGTTGTTTGATGTGGTGGTCTGTGTTTGATGTAGTGGACACACTGTTCAAAATCCCATTGGACTTTCTACCAATCATATCGTCGTATTTTGTATTGGCGCATTCACCGAGACAAAATACGACGATATGATTGTTACGAGATATGCTCAACACAAAGCAATATTTGGTTGTAAATGATGTAAAGCAATCCTTGATGAAGTGGTGAGATGTTCTTGAATGCATGTGTTTGACTTATCATACAGAATGTTAAAATTGACAGTGACAAAAATATGCTTGGTAAATAGTGCTACTACTAGACCTCTCACCAAACGAACGACTCTATCACGAGTCATACAACAAATACAGTAAAAAAGCAGTCACCTTCGTTGTGACTCACAATCTTACTTTCCCCACACTATCCACAA